ATAGACAAATTAGGAAGACAACAGACTACAACACAACATACGAACTCACACGAACACGTAGCTATAACAGGTGGACGAGTCACAAAAGAGGGGTCTAAAGTGTTTGGTATAAGGGAACTGGTGTAGGGGGAGCAATGAAGACATCCTTAGCTAGAAGGGCATCTCCATAGGGCGTCTCAGCTCGGGTCACAGACAGTCTCCTAGAGACAGTAGGGTAATCTATCAAAGTCATCCAACTAGGAGAGAGAATATTCTTACTAGGGAAGGACAAGGATATCGAGGGCATAATGTAGGAATCAGGAATATGATAAAACGATGGGCCATGACTTACTACCATAGTAGGATAGCCCAAAGAGTGACTAGCGGGTATGGGACTCAAGAGATGGGGTAGGGTTTCCCTAACAGAATTGGGCACAACAGTTAGAAATGTGACCTGAAAGTATGGGCTACGACTCTCTCTAACACTAAGGTCGGTGATATAAGTCCAATCAAGAGAGGTATACTCTGTCAAATGCACATCTAAAGGAGCAACTCCTAGAATAGATTCCAATAAGACAAGATGATGTTTAGGGTTCAACTTAGGCTCAGAATCTTTCAGAATCAAATTACTATCTGCCAAGCTCATATTACTATCCTCAAAAGGATCAGGTTTGGTTATAACCCTAAGATCAATGAATCCGGGGTCACTTAAATCAAGATTTAATTCAGGTAGTAACTTCAATTTCCTCATTTCCAATTTGAAATTATCCACATTGCCATCAGAATTATTCAAAATTAAATCCGAATTATTCGGAGTCGTCTTAATTAATTCAGAATCTTCCGATTTCACGGTCAGGTCAGTTTCTTTCAAGATCATATTACTATCGTCCAGGCAAGCCTTATCCAAAGAAATATCCTCGATGAGACTAGGATCAATGTGGACTAAGGTGTCGATGTTTAAAGGTTTCAACTTTCCTAGCTCAGGGTTCAAGTCATGCCGGGAGTCTGACTCAACCACTTGTGTTCCATCCTCAAAGAATTCTTCGTCATTAGTGACATCACTAGCATCCACGAAATGGATGCACTCAGTCTCAGGTTTAGGGAACCTCTTCTTCTTAATGTCTTCCTTTA